AATGATTGTGATGCAAATAGAAAATCTATTTATTTGTTCAGATCAATTTTCACAACGATTTTAATTTCCTTGATCGCCTGAGTTTTTTTCTAAATAGCTCTAATTTGTTCTAGTTTTTTGAATTGCTCTTTATTCTCTTTCAAAAACAATCAGCCAAATCAAGACGTGCTGCGATATATATGGTTCACACTTATGTTCCTTATAATTAATGATCTTCTATACGACGAATTGATTGCACATAATAAAGAATGACATAGTAGACGTTGTTTTTTTGAAGATGGTTTTTGGTACATGTAATCCATTGTGTAAAAATTAAAAGAATTTTTTTAATTCAAACTAATATTCAAAAAAAACAAAACTTTGTTGTTTTTAGAAATCTTTCTTGTTAGGTAGTAGCGCTATCTCTCACCACTACCTCCTGTTTCTTTTCTCTCTATATCTACTTTTATCCATTGTCCTTCGTGTGATTGGAAAACATGGATGTATTGTTTTTTTCTCTGTTAGTGTTGTTTGTTTTTAGTAAGAAGGAATAAACTAGGAACAGCTAGTCGACACAGACTAATATTTCTTTTCTTTATTTCAATAAATTTTTTATCAAAAAAAGAGTACAATATGTTATATGATCATATAATCTAGTGAAATATGAAACATTGCATTATATTACTAATAGCGAACCACGATTTCCTGTCCTTCGAATATTAGCCTGTGGAAACGATTTTCTTTTGATTTCCATTTCCGTTTTCATAAGATTTTCAGAATTTTTATTTCTATTTCATAGTTTATGCTTGAGAAAAAATATCACTATCATATATAAAGTATTTATAACATGGCATTTTGCGTAATTTGATGTGAATTGAAATAAAAAAAGAAAAAAAATTATTATAAGAATTACTATCAGTTAAAATTATATAAAACTAACAAGCTGTTACGTAAACTTATATCATTAAAAATAAAAATAAGACAAAACTGTGTAAAAAGGTCAATACTTATTTTTCTTTCTCCTCCTTATCTATCTCGCCGGGTGTTACTTTCCATTCTGTGCTGCAAGCTTTCTCGATGCTTCGGTTAACATTCACAGTGCGGCCGATTATTCAGAATACTTCCATATCAATCTGCTCTTTTTTTTCCTTTTGTCTCAACTCTCTGCAAGCAACTGTCAAGAAAAAAGGAAAGGAAAAAAAAAATTTTTTTTTCTTATCTTCCTTCACATATTTTCTCCCTCGTTTCCTTCTGTCCTTATTAACATCGTCATTTCTTTCATAAACTTGCTTTTAGATCTATTCGTAACAAACTAAAAATAGTCGAAAAGATATTATAAATGTCGGCAATAACGGATCCAGTTATTGTTACTCCAACTGATCAAGTGAGTGTAACCGTTGTTCGAAAATCTGATGGACAATCAATAACTTTCGTAATGGATGAAAAAACTCATGTACATGATTTAAAAAAAGAATTAAAATTACGATTAAAACCTAGATTTGAACAAGGATGTCGTCTTATTTTTCGTGATAAAGTACTCAAAGGCAAACATTCACTTAAACACTATGGTATTAAAAAAGGTGTTAATGATCAAGCTATTTCCAGTATGTTTAAATTCTTTTATTTTTTCTATATTAAATTTTGTTTGTTTTCTTTTTTTTTTCTAATATAGTGGATGATTCAAAAGATTGGAAATCATCATCATCATCATCTGATTCAGAACAGTAAAAATAAACATTACTTTTTATTTTACAAAAACTAACATTTTTATCCAAGCTGAACTTGTGCAATACATATATTAACAGAATGTTTATTAGTTAGAATAAAAAGCACATAATATATATAAAACAAATTAGACTTTATATACTATCAATATAAAGAAAAAGAAATTTTATATGATTATTGATCAGCTAATTACGAATTTCGGAAGTATTGATGTTTCGAACATTTTTGTATTTTGAGTATTTGATGTTCAAAAAAAAAATGTTTTTTGCTGATTGGATAGCATGAAAAATAATTACAAACTATGATTGAAGCAAAGCAACCATATTATTTATGATTTCTATCTAGAATACACGATCCGTTCTATTTCTATTGTGATATAGTTATTATTTACAAAAGAAAATCAACGACGTAGTAGTTCTATTATGTATGTTAGAGATAAAAACAATTAATAGTGGTTATTTTGCTCTTCATATAAATAGAACTAGAACAACAAAAATTACGGATGACTATTTTTAAAAACTTTTTCTTAATATTTAAATTGTAATAAAATTAATTATTCTACAAGATTGTATTCTACGTAGAGGCTTCATAAAAGATTGAATGTTTCATAGTAATGCTATCAAATTTCTTGGTCTTTTTTTGATCATACGAAATGCAAGGAAGCATTTTCCGACAAATAATTTTCATCAAAGAATTTCTCTGACAACGACGTTCCACATTCCCAATAATTGTGTTTTTTCTGTTGTAAATACTATGAACAAGTAAATAATTGTACGTGGGGCAGGACGTCTTTAATGCTGAATTATAGTAATAGTGTAAAGAAATTACTTTTTTAGAATAGATTTTTGACACGCTATGTAATAATATTTGAGAATGAATCGTAATATTCTTTTTCCTACAATCTTTTAAATGATAATTTCAATTATTCATGTAGAAGCTTTCTATAATAATATGACAATTTTAACAAAGAGGATTTATTTTATTCAGAATTCTGTTTTTCAAACAACTAGCATAAAAAAATAACTAGATGTATACATTGAAACATGATAAAAACCTTTTCTCCTAGATTAATTGTTATATTCAATCAATTATTTAAATAACTATTCAAAAACTCAAAATTTTATCTCATTGTAAATTGTTATATTTAGTAGGAAATTTAGAGTATTGATAAGGCAAAAAGTAGTCATATCTAAAAAAAAAAGATTTGCGAAGTACTATGAAGGCAATTTTCATTTAATTCTTCTGTAGAAAAAAATTTATCGAAGCGAGAGTAATCGTCCTTCTTCACATCCTCTAAACCTGCCAGAGTTGATATACATTTTATGTATGATGAATAAGAATGTATCTGTTTGTTCTATCGTCGTCATAGCCATAAATTATTATGAATAGTATATACAACACCATTCGTACGCGTATTTTTAGCTGACAGCTACTCTTGATCGTAAGAAGTTCTCTTTATTTTCAAGTATGTTCAACTATATTAATCATATTATTATCAACGAACGAAATGATGTTATATATAGATTCTACTCATAATGCTATTATTCTACTTTTTTTTTGTTCGTGGAGTACATAACCTTAACATGTACGTGTGCAAAGAAGCATGCGTGAGACATTCAACGTTAATTTATTTATCATCTTTATTTACAAATGTTTTCAGTCATAAGAAATTAGTAGAAATTTAATAGAATGAAAAGCAAATCCAGACGATATATAAACAGAAAGAAATTAATATTGCATTATAAGGTCACGATTTGTATTTCAACTTTTTCTTTTTCTTTGTCATGAAACATTTTCATAAAGCATTTATTACAACACGATAATATTTCTGAAAATTGCATGGTAAATTCATATAGAAAATATTGAAAAATAAAAGTTCTACACACAAAATTACTATGAAAGATAACGATGAAACATGGAGGGATTTACCTATTTGCTTTTATAAACATCTGAAGAATTTATTATGTTTATAGTCGTGCAAGGGTTTATGAAAATGGCGTATATACGAAAAGGATTTATGAAAATATTATGTAGAACTTATGAGATTATCATGCACTTTGTAGGATTTATTATTCTACGCAGTATCATTTTAATAATTAAAAAATACAAACGTTAGTTGTCATCTAATCATTGTTTAATAAATTTTTAAAGATTTGATATTTTCAGCATAACTTATAATAAATTATTAGAAATCTTCTGTTGAAAGAAATGTCAAATTGACATTGTAATGCTAGGTACATTTCAGTTACAATTTTTATGCTTTTTTTTTTTTAGCGAATAGGATTGTTTATGTTTTGAATGAAGTATGCTTTACTATTTCAGACAAAGCTAATTGATAGTTTATTTATTTTAACTTATTTTATAGTAATAGTTTGAATAGAACTTATTTAGCAAGAGGCATTGTTATTTTGATTTTCTCATTTTAATGATTTTACGGTAGTTTGTTTATCATCAGCTTTAGCAAGAATTTGTGCCTTTTGAATATCTGTTGCATCAACTTCAGGTTTATTTGCTTGTAATAATGCAGCTGATCCTTCTGGACTATCCAAACCATGTTGTTGATTTAAACCATTATTTATATAAGCTTTCGTTTGATATTCAGATGATTGCATCATGAGAATGATTTAAAATGAATAACAAGGTTCGTTGAAATGAAAATTAGCGCGATAAAATCATCAATGATTTAAATCAAAACATGCTGCATTATTTTACTATACTCAGAAAATATTAATAATTTCATGTAGTTTAACTTTCTCGAAAGTTTTTATTGAGTTATGAAACGATACTAATTAGTATACATGTACAGCATATAGATTAAGACAATTTCAACTAATTTTTGATTGTTATAGGAATATTGTTTAGTCAATAAAGTAGTTATTGGTATTTATTTATGATTTGTTGTATTTGATACCAATCATTACTAATTTATGTGAGTTAAATAGTTAGTGAAGATCTGTTATTAGAAGCTAAATCTGTTCTTTGTCAATTTGATATGAAGTTTCTATATTTACGGTCATTATGTTTTTCTTGAGTCATTACATAAAAGCATATCTGTCAAAGATCAACAATACTATTTTCAATAGATATAAAACGCTATCTATGAAAATAAAACAGTTTATTTCACTGATATTGAATGTCAATGAACGACATCTATATAACTATCATTAGAATCGTCGTTTGTTAATTTATCAATAAGTAAAAAAAGAAAATTACTAACTAAGCAAAAAATAGTATTTTGTAACATCCGATTGAAATTGTGTCATATAATCACAATATATTTTACAGACAATTACACTATGTCATTTTTGGCTCGACACAATATTTTCGTTGCTATTATATTCGGTTGTTTTGCTGTTCTTATACCACGAATTTTTTTGCCATTATTTCGTTCAAGATCATCATCACCGACGACTCATATCGATGATTGTAAGTATTTTTTTTCTTTCTAATTAAAACAAATTGAATCATTTATCTATTTTAGATTTTCAACGAGTACCATCATCGATGTCTCCTAATCATAACGATAAAGTAATCAAACATACTTCCATTCCATTTAAATTCTACATCAAACAGAACTTTTAACTTTTGAATTTATTTCAGGATTCTTCATCGCATATGTATAACGCATACTCGAATATGCGAATGCCTAATTCTGGTGCTGATAGTCAACAACAATCATCAATCGATCAAAATAATTCAAAATCAAGTGCAACTTTTGTTTTACCAATGTATACTGTTGGTATAGGACTTTTTTTTATTTATACATGTTGCAAAGTATGTTGAAATAATATAATATTATTTATTAAATAATATTTATATTTATTTTAGTATTGGAAAAAACGTAATAGTGAAGAAAATAAAATAAAACTTCAATATTCAACAAATAATATTCAATGGAATAATGAAAAAAGAAAATTTAAATATCATGCTAATAATCATCATAGTGAAGATGATGAAGAAAATGAAGATTCATATGCTGGTACTGGTTTTTTTTTAATCATTATATTTTTTCTTTTTGTTCGTTATAAAATAAATATCATTTTTTTTCCTAGGACTAGATCCTGATTATGTTGAATATTTAAAATCGAAAAGACGAAAAGAATTCGAAGCTGAACAAAATGCTACAGTTGAACAAAATCAAAGTTTGTTTTCATATTTTATTTGTTTTTCTTTTTTCGAAGAATAATTTTTGTTTAGTGTATCATGCTCTTGATGAAATGAAAAGTTCATTATCATTTATTAATTCAAAACTTGGAACAAATGAAAGAAAAAATAATTTAACTAAATATGAAATATCACAATTACAAGATCGTTTAGCTTCAACTGAAGTTCAAATGTATAAAATTTTAAATACAATTAATGCTGTTACAAATAAAGTTAATGAATTAACCAAAAATACACGACAATCTCTTGAAAAATCAGAAGAGGTCTATTTGAAAAACGAATATGAATTTCTTTTTCATTATAGGTTTTTGTGTTTTTAATATCTAATTATAGAATTTTAATAATGAAGAAGATTATCATCTATCATTAAGATCACATGATGAAAGTGAAGATAGTATAAATGATGAAGAAAATTCAAATAGTGACGATAATTCATTGCATCAAGAAGAACAAATATCACTAAATAATCAACATGAAACTTCATCATCATCATCATCATATGAAGATGATGAAGAAAATTCTAATGAATCAAAAGAAGATGATGATGATGATGATGAATCTGAATCATCATCTGAACGTTATGGTATGATGAATACTAATTATGGATCGGATCCAAATACAATTGATGATTATGAATTAAATACAAATAACAAGTCTGAACAAACAACTGATAGTCGAACCAAAGTACATGAATGGCGTCAACGTAATCATTCTCAATCGTTAAGTAGTAGTAATTCATCAATAGAACAAGATCAATCGATACCAAATGAAGAACAAAACCATTTAAGAAGACGACAATGTCAAGAATAGACATTTTTCTTTTTTTTTACAATCTGACATAAGATGTCAAAAATTTGAGCGAAATCTTTTTTTTCGATATGGTTGGATAGAGCTCGTCGAGCTACCTATAAAAATCTTGTCTTTGGCAACTCAAGTGACAGCTGCCGTTTGAGTTTATACTAGCCCAACAGTCAAATCTCAGTGAGAATAACGAAAACCTAAAAGGATTTCTCCTCATTGGCGCCAAGTTACAACCAGTTTACTGGATGTTTGCTCCATTTTAGATATTCTTCGAAAGACTAAATAACGATGTTTTGAGCTAAAATTTCGCCTATGAATAGATCTAGTGGCTCTTAGAATATTCTAAAATTTTCAAGTGAACTCAATTATTGTGACAAAGTGCTATTTTTGAAAATTCAATATCTTGACGAAGGAATATTCTTGTCGGCTACAAGTTTCTGAATATTTTAAGAGTAATTAGGCCTATTTATAGGTAAACTTTTTGGATCAAAACTTCTTTGTTCGATCTTCCGAACAGTATTTAAAATGGGTCAAAAATCCAGTAAATCGATCATAATTCAGCTCTAATGGGGCGAATGCGTTTGGGCTTTCGCTATTCCCACTGAGATCTGTCTGTAGGTCCAATATAAACTCAAATGACGGATGTCACTTAGGATCATGCCTTCGTGAAACTTGATACGTATGGTGTATTTCAATTTTTTTTAAACCTAATTATCGCTTATCATCTGAATATGTCACAAACTAGACTTTTAAAGAGTAATTTGATGAGCTCTATTCAACCATGCCAAAAAAATAGTTTGCTCAAATTTCCAGCACCTTACTTTTCTAGTCTTTTGTATATATGAATTTTCTTTTAACAGCTTTAATATTCATTTGTCGATAATTTAAAAATTTTTTTTTTTTTGCTTTTAGATTAGGAATAATGGCTGATAAATATAAAAATGTTCGTGTACCTGGTCCAAATGATAATATTTATAAAGATGAATGTCTTTATTCATTTGATAATCCAGAATCTGAAAATGGTCTTTATATTTGTATGTCAACATTTCGTGGAGTTGGAAAAGATCAGCTTGAACGACATTGTAAAAATAATCCAGGAAAAAATGTTTTTTTACATATTGTACGAAGACGAAAACCAATACCAGTCGATGTTAATATTGAGCCAAGTAAAGTAACAAAATTAGCAATTGGTATTGAAGGTGGTTTTGATGTAAATCAATCAAATCGATATACATTTGAAGAACAATATTCAATTTATATTCATCCAAATGTAACTGTTCATTATCCAGATGAATCTAATCAATTACCTGAACATGTTAAAAAATCAGCTGATGCTATTATAGCTGCTGATTCTGCATTTTTAAAAGAAGAACGTTCACTTTTGAATACAACATGGAATGGAGAAATTCGTCCTATAACAAAACATACACAAAGATTACCACAATTAAATAATGGTAGAAAAATTCCACCAATTGGTTGGAAATGTGAACAATGTGATTTAACAGAAAATCTATGGCTTAATTTAACTGATGGAGCTATTTTATGTGGAAGAAAATTTTTTGATGGTAGTGGTGGAAATAATCATGCTGCTGAACATTATTATAAAAAAAAATATCCATTAGCTGTTAAACTTGGTTAGTTATTTAAAATTTTCATTTTTTTATTTGAAATCAAATTTTATGTTTTGAATATAGTATTTCATAATTTCGATAAAATTAGTCTATTCATTGATCATATCTAAGACTGTAATTGATATTGATATAATGAATGTGATCGAAAAGTAATTTGATAAAATGTACATTGATTTTTCAGTCTCTTAAAAGAGATTGTAGAAATTTAAAACCATTGATTTTATATTGTTTCGGAATATAAGTTCAACATTTGTCGAGAGTTTCTAGTTTAGTAGTTATGAGTCGACCTTTTTGAGGCGTGAATTTTTACATAGAATTAAAGGCAAGATTATTCTCTACAAAGTGATAAAAACAATTAAAAGTTTTAGAACAATCATTCAGGAATGAGCAAACTCACTTTACAAGTCTGTTTTCCATAGGAATTCAGAAAATTGGCTAAATGAACACGATGTACCTTATCAAAATAGTTACTGCTGACAAATGACTTGCAGCAAACTAATCATTAGTATATCATTTTATAGAGAAATGTTTGCTCTTACATTCGCTGTATTGTAAATAATTTTTGCTTCTACTTTGAGTAAGTTTTAACGCACTGCAGCTTGTCCAGTCTAAAAAATGTTGGTTCATAACTCTTAAACTATAAATTCTACAGAAATTTCGAAGTCATATTAGGACAAAAAACACAAAATTCTGATGCTAACTTAATGTTGTCAAATTTCTCCAGACTGAACAATGAACGAACATTTTGTCAAATTATTTTTCAATAATCCATTATGTAATACTTGATTGAAGAGTAATAAACTATATGAAAAACGATATTTCAAAAAATAAAGTAGCTATTTATAGTTGAAAATACATCAAATTCGTAATGTATAATACGTAGAGCCATTGTAATTATCTTATTTTTAGGAACAATTACACCTAAAGGTGCTGATGTTTATTCTTATGATGAAGATGATATGGTTGAAGATCCAAATCTTGCTATTCATTTATCACATTGGGGAATAAATATGCTTAAAATGGAAAAAAGTGATAGATCAATGGCTGATTTAGAAATTGAATTAAATCAAAAATATGGTGAAGCATCTATGATTGAAGAAGCTAATTCAAAATTACAACCTGTTTATGGACCAGGTAGAGAAATTCATAATGTTGTTTTCTGGATAATTTTTTTTATTATTTTGGTAGGTTATACGGGAATGAGAAATTTAGGAAATTCATGTTATATGAATTCAGTAATGCAAGTTTTATTTACTTTAAAAGATTTTCAAGAAAAATATTATCAACATTGTGATTTTTATTTTGATAAAGCTAAAGATCCAGCAAATGATTTTAATGCACAAACAGCTAAATTAGCTTTTGGTCTATTATCGGGTCGTTATTCAAAGGAACATTCAACTAATAGTGACATATCATTACAAACACCATTAGGTATTCGTCCACAAATGTTTCGTTTATTAATTGGTCGTAATCATGCAGATTTTGGTACAAAACAACAACAAGATGCTGCTGAATTTCTTCAATATTATATTGAACAAGTACATAATCATTGTACAAAAGATCCAACACCAAATCCATTACTTGATCCAAGTACTTGTTTTCAATTTGAACTTGAAGAACGTATTTATTATCCTGAAACAAGTCAAGTACGATATTTAACACGTCATGATTCAATGTTTAGATTAAATATACCATTATCAGCAGCAAGAAATATGCATGAAGTATTACAATATAATAAAACAAAAGAAGATATGGAACAACAAGGCAAAAAAATAAATGACTTACCAATTGTACGTCCCATTGTTCCACTTAAAGAAGCTATATCACAATGGGCTGAACCAGAAGAAATTAATGATTATAAATTACCACAATATGGACGTACGACAACAATAAGAAAAACTCAAAAATTTTTAACTTTTCCTGATTATCTTTTTATTCAATTAAAAAAATATACATTTAATTCTGATTGGACACCAAGAAAAATTGATGTTTCAATGGAAGTACCTGATGAACTTGATCTTAGTTCATTACGTGCAACTGGTTTTCAACATGGTGAAATATTAATGGTTGATGGTAAAATAAAAATTCTTCCTTTTTTTACTTCGAAAAAAAAAACCCTTTCTGCAATTGTTTAGATGATGAACCAACAGGACAACCAACTGTTTCTGTTAATGAAGTTCTTTTACAACAACTTGTTGATATGGGTTTTTCAAAGGAAGGTTGTAAACGAGCATTAATCAATACGGGTAATAATGATATTGAAGCAGCTATGAATTGGGTATTTGAACATCAATCAGATCCTGATTTTGATACACCATATCAAGCACCAAGTAAAAAAGCTCGTGTAGAACAAATTCAAACACCACCTGTAAGTTATATTCTTTTACAAAGAAACAACCAGCTGTTAGCACAACCTCTGCAAGACTAAAATGTGAAATATAATATAGCTGCTCTTGCTAATCACAAGGAGATCGTTGTGTTCTATCTATTTTAGGACACATTTTTTCAAGAGGAAGGAAAAGCATAAGAAAATAAATAGCATCAAATATGTCGTTGTTGATTACAAAAAGACGGAAATATATATCACAAAACTCTATTTTGTTTAACTTTTTTTTGTATTTCTTACTATATAGGTGTTATGGTCGGAGGGACATTCTGTGGAAGTTTTGTTCGATTTGGACTTGTGAAAAATTGTGCAAGCTCATTATACTTAACATATGTTTCCGTTAAAAGTACTCAGTATTAAAGAAGGATGACTTTTTACGAATCGATAGAGTCAAAGATGCAGTGTCAGATTATATATAATTTTCTCAGGAGTAGCTTCTCCTTATTGCTCACAATGAAAAAGACTCTTAGTCTTACTAGCAACTTTTCTCGACAACTGTTAATAAAAGAAACAAAGACTTTTATATCAAGAAAAAGCGCATAAGCCAGAGTAAATGTAGCTATAATTAGGCTATTAAAAAGTGCACTTTCAATTTTTTACCTAATATCTCACAGTGGAGTGAGTGGTACAAATTTCTATTCTATATAGTGCAACACTTCTTCTAGATCGTCTTTTACAAAATTAAATCTTTTTGTTTCTATTTAAACATAATAGGTGGATGAAGAAAGTATCGGCATTGTCATGTCAATGGGTTTTTCACGTAGTCATGCTCTTCGTGCATTATCATTAACAAATAATAATGTTGAAGCAGCTGTTGATTGGGCTCTTAATACACCTGAAGATTGTTCTGTTTTAAATGCATTAGTTCAATCATTACCTCAATCATCAACTACTCAACAAACAAAACAAAATTATCGTGATGGTATCGGTAAATATCGTCTTGTGGCTTTTATTTCACATATTGGTAATCATCCATCATCAGGTCATTATGTAGCACATATCCTTAAAGATAATCGTTGGGTTATATTTAATGATGAAATTGTTGCATTTTCTGAACATCCACCAAAAGATTTAGCTTATCTTTATTTATACAAACGTGCAACTATTTGATTGTAATATTCAAAATACAAACAGATAATAACTCTAGTTTCATTATTTCATGTTTTTTTTTCTTTTATTATAAGTCAAGGAATATCGACTGTTTATTATCATTAAAAACGACGATATTGTCATTCATGACATGAAATTTTGTTTTAGTTTTTTTTATTATTTTCTTTCTTAGATGTATATTAATTACAAATTCTGATATTTAATATCCATTTTTTAGTAAGTAAAAACAAAAATGAATTAATTCAGTTGGTTTTTTTTTATGAATTCTTTTTTTTTTGTTTTAGTCATTATTAGTTTTACATAATCAGAAAAATAAAAATGTTAGCAAGTAGTGAAATGCAAATTCGTCGTACAGCAGGCTCTCGTCCTATTGGTCAAACAGGTTCATCATCAACTGGTACATCAGCATCACCAATTGGCAATGATAAACGAAAACATGAATCTATTTTATATAGTGATGCAGCTGTTCGTTTTAATGAAAATAGTCTTGAACAATGTCGTACATCTGTTAGTGCATTATCCGGTTGTGTTGCTGGTATAATTGGTCTTACATCATATAAGGGTTTTCTTTTTTATGGTTTCTCAATGTTTCTTTTATCGGTACTTATATTTATGTTTATTCGACATGAACATCGAAAATTTTTTACCGGACTAAATCATGTTTTCGTTAATGGATTTTTTAATGGTCTACTTACTTATGTACTCTTTTGGACATTTCTCTATGGAATGGTTCATGTTTATTAAGAGTAAAAGACAAGAACAAATATATATATATATATATATATATGAATAGACTGTAATATCAGAAAAGTGTTTCCTCTATGTTGTTGTTGTTTTTCCAACTGTGTATTGTTGTTGTTATTGTTCGATTTAACAAAAGCAAAAGATTAAAAGAATAAACTTTATGATAGATGATTTAATTTAATATAGACTTTAAAGATAATCAAAACAAGTATGCTTATTAGAAGAAAAAAAACAAAAGAAAGATTTAAATCGAATATTTTGAGTTTTACAATTAATTGACAAGTTCTACAAATAACAAAAAAAAAAACAATGAATATTTTATTAGATATATATTTCAGATATGAAAGTCAAGCCGACAATTTCAAATACATCATCATCATCACCATTGAAACCACTTATTGATATAAATAAAAGTTCTGTACGATCTTCACCTGAAACAAATGATTGTTATGCAGTTGATCTTACTTTAAATAGTACTAACAATCATATTGCTGTACTGACTATTCCAAGTACAATTCAATTATTTGATGTATCAACATTAAAACCATTATCATCTCTTTCATCAACTACAAATAATTTTGATAATAATAATTCTTCATCTTCAATAAAAATTCATTCTATTCAATATGCTTATATTTCACCATATACATTATTTGCTTCGACAAATAAGAATTTAGTTCTCGTATGGGATACAAGAACACCACAATTAGAAACTATTCAATTAAATGGTTGTGCTGATACACATGAATTTCTATCAGTAACATGTAATAATGAAGATCAATTAGTTGCTGCTGGTACTGAACTTAGAGGTGATGAAAATGTTGCTATTGCTTTTTGGGATATACGAGCACCAATAAATAAACAATTATTAGGATATTATACAGAATCTCATTCGGATGATATTATTCAAGTTAAATTTTCTCGAATGAATTCAACTAAATTACTAAGTGGTTCAACAGATGGTCTTGTTTGTTTATATGATGTATCAAAATTGAATGAAGATGATGCACTTGAACAAGTATTTATTTAAAGCGCTAATAATTCAAAATTTCGAGCAAAAATTTTTTTCAGCACTTTTATTGTTATGGTTGGATAGAGCTTGTCGAGTTACTCTATAAAAAATGTTTTTTTTAGACATATTTAGACGATAAGTGAAAATCAAGTTTTAAAAAATTCAGAAAAGCTGATAAAAATTAAAATAAGCCAAAGACATCAAGTCTCGGTCGCCCCAGCGTTTATTGAAATTTTTAATTTGATGTAACTCGTTATATAGTTAGAAAAAAAAATTATTCATGCTTGATGAAAAATACTGTTTAATTTTTAAGATAATCGATTTTTTCTATATGATAGCAAAAAAGCCATATATACGGATTCGTATTCTAAGATTTTGATCATCGAAGAACTTTAGTTCCAAAAGCAACAAATGTCATATTTAGAAACAACACAAAAATTTGCATTGAATCTTCAAGGTCAAATTTTAAGCATTGAATACATTATTCAATGCAGATTTTTGCAGCTGACTGGGAATATGATATTCGCTCCTATTGAAACTGAATCATTGATGCTCAAAATCTTAGAATACAAACATGTATTTATGACGTTTTGCTATCATATCGAAAAACAAAACGATTTTCTTAATAATATTCTTCAAAAATCAAGAATAATGCTTTCATGCAACTATGAGAAAAAGACCAAAACAAAAATTCTCGCTCAAATTTAGAATTACCAGTACCTTATGAAAAAAAAAAGAAACAATTAACAAAACTTTTTTCTCTAGGTTTACAATGCAAATGGACCTGTTGCAAAATGTGGTTTTGCTCAATATAATACAATCTATGCAACAACAGCATCAAATGGGTTTTTTATTTGGTCAACATCCGATGAAAATCAACAATTACTGGTACAAGGTGACACAGATAATGATTTACTAACATCAGAAATTTCTTCCGAAAAAATCGATACATCATTAAAATCTTCAACAATTATTCATCATCTTTCTTCATCACATGCAACTATTGTCGATATACTTTCTGATTGTAATATTCAAGATTTGTTACCATCTGTTACACAAGAGACAAAATCCTGTTGGCCATTATTAATGTGTGATCACATGGGAAAAATGAATATTACATTAGTCTCATCTAATGAATCCCAACCAACTATTTTCCCACTTGATTCACCTCATTCTGAAACATTACGTGCAGCAGTCACTTATCGTTCTACACTTTATTCATGTGGTGATGATGGACAATTGATTCAATGGCAACCATCATCATCATCACCATCATCGACGTATAATTCCAATGAGAATCAACAACAAACAAGGTCAAAGAAAAAGTCAAATAATAGAAAACCCTACTAAATCATATTAAAAAAAAATTGTTTTTTTTTGATTTTGTTATTGTCAACAATATAATAAATATATTGTTATATTGGAATAAAACAAAAGAACCTCAAAGGAAATTGAATTATCTATGCCTATTATTAACATACTTAATGAGATTCTCTTGATGTTTCATTTAATTCTATTTTATTTCGTTCATTTACAAATTCTTTCTAAGAAAACATATTATGCTACAACAAACTTTGTTATATACAAATACGATTATTGTGTATTTATATGATAAAAATTTAATTAAAGGAAAATCAAAGCTCTTTACATTAATCATGTCTGAAAGAAATTAATGCACTGTGACTTGACTATACAAGATTTCAGTGTATCTTTATCATTCATACATATAAATGAAAAAAAAAATCTACAGTCGAAAAAAAAAGAGGCATACTTTTACAATCTTAATAATCGATTGTTTCAATCATATGGGACATCTCAAAGTTTTCTGGAAGAAACTCAATCCCCATTATGTCAACATCGATATCTTCTTCCGATCGACGACATTGATCTAATTGACAGGATACATCAACGAGTGCCGGTGAAGACATCAAAGAGCGTAAGTGTCGCTGATCTGAAGAAGTACCAATTCATCAGTAAATTTTCTAAGCGAAAAATTCTTAAAATATTTTTTCGGTAATCTAATATCATTGAATGTGGTCAGCGATTAGCGTTTTTCACACATATATGCTTTTTCTAACTATTAAGTATGATGCGCACCGCCATTCATTTCTTATTTGATGCGACTATCCAATTATATATATATATATATGCAATGGTTTGTTGTTTTTCTATCGAACAACTATTATCGGCATATTGCTTTGATCGTCTTCAAAGAAATAGACAGATTAAACGCATGAATGTATATTCGTTACAGAAATATATATTTTTTTTTTCAAAATTTTCTCTTCTCCAGCTGCGAAGTGTCTTGACACGATCGACGATGTTTCGAATGGACGAGAAAAAAAACGAATTGAACAGAAACGAAAAAAAAAGAGAGAAGAAAAAAAGTTAGATGTATAAACATCTAACAAAACAAGACAAGCTAACCTTTCCTTTTTTCATTCGTTTCTTTAAACAATCTGAATACAATTTGATCGTCTTTGTGTCTGTGTGTGTCTAGATCAATTTTTACGTGAATTTGAAATTCTTCAAAAAAAAAAAAATTCGAAAACATGTCTTTCAGCGATACGGAATGTTCGCATCGTTCATCATTAACAACTGTTCATCGTGTTCCAGCAAATAACAGTTCACAATTATCACGAACAACATCTATACATGAAATTATATCAAATCCTGAAACAGCTGAATTATTTCTTGAATATCTTATGAATTCACCACAAACAGCATCACTTGGTGCTGTTTATGCAATTATACTTGTACTTAATGAAAAAAAAGATGATGTAAATCAATTACATGATATTGGACGAGCTGCATATAAAACTTATATTGAAAATGAAACAATTTTACCATGGTTACCAACACAACGACGTATAGAATTACGTGATAATTATCGTCGTAAACAATTTGATGAACATTTTTTTGATGGTGTCTTAGATGATCTTCTTATTTATATTGAAAATCAAACAGATGTATTTCGACAATTTCTTAATTCACGTCTATGGAATGAATATCGACGTGGAAAATTTTCAAAAAATCATGCACAAATTAAATCAACATCAACACTTGGAAATAATTCTAGTAGTTATCAAAATGAAAATGAACTTAAACGTTCACGTAAACTTCATTCATCATCATTATCATTACAAACAAAAACTAAATCATATCATCACCATCATCATCATCATCAGAATCGTAGTGTTCGAGTTGAATGTTCGTAAAAAAGAAAATGAATTTTAATTTTTTTTGATTTTGTTTTCACTTTTGTGTTTTTAGCTACGTCAATAAAAAAAACTCGTGTAGCTTATTTTTTACCTGGTAGTGATACACCATTTGTTATTCAAGTAGCTGTACCGTCCGAATCTATTACACTCAACGATATTCTTCCACGTGTACATACGTCATCAACGAATCAACGTAATAATATGAATACGAATAATTCATTTGATTATTTTGTTAAACATCGTGCTACAAATGAAAATTGGCTTGGTGGTGATATACAATTTATTAATGAAAAAATTGAAGATTTTGATATACCTCTACCAAATATTGATGGTACGGTGGTGATTAGAATACTTAATAATAATTAAACTATATTATTTTTGTTTATTACTTTTCTTTCTTCTTATAAATGTATAATGACTTTTTTCTTTTTTTTTTTTCTTGATATTCTTATTATGAATTGAGTAATGTAAGATATATTGATGATTCATAAATTCATACACAGTGCAGATGTATATGAGTGATGTTTTTTTGTTACAATGAATGGAAGATATGAATATGATATTTGATTTGTTTGTTGTGACACATAAAAGAATAAACTAGACGAGAAAAATCAATCATGCAGAAACTATGAAATAACTGGATATGTCAGGTAGTTTTTTTCGATTGGTAAATAAAAGAAAAAAAAAATGATGAAGACAATATGCAGAGATATGCATAATCAATAAGTTTGGTTTGTTTTGATAACAACCTTGAAATGTAAGTATTGTAGTCAGATACATACTGACATAGCAAAAAACGGATTATGAGTGAAAATTTTTATTCGTTTAATTTTATAGAAATAATCTCCTAATATTAAATTTAATCATATAGACAAGAATAAATTTTGATGAGTATGTTTTTATTAATCGTCACATTACTAATGTCGTTTTTCTTACTAGATGATGAGTCATGGGTAAAATCGCATTTTTCCTATTCTTCTTATAAAACGACGCAAAAAATTTGAGGTAATTATCCTGTTTAGGCGTCATTTCTGTGTGGGATCAACTTGTTATATAAAAATATTTATAATAATACTAATTATTGTTAAATTAGTTCATATTCTATCGATTAGCAAAGTTCTCAATCTAATATCTAAGAAAAGTTTCTTCATATTACTTTAGAAAATGAAGATGAGTACTTCTTATTAACATCGAAATCTATTTCATTATTTTAGATTATTTTTAATATTTATTAAAATTTAACGATGGGTCAAATTAGTTCAACTGCTATTATTATATTGGTAGTTATTGCTGTGGTTATAGTTATTATTGTTCTGAGTTTATTGGTAAAGAATAAAATATTTTTCAATTATTTATTTTTATTTAATTTATATTCAGATTTGTTGTCTTTGTAAAAAATGTGATCAATGTGCAAGATGGTCACGAGGAAGAGCAATTGAAAGAGAAGAAACGGCAAGAGATCGAGAGATTGCTGAAAGTCGACGTCACTTTAATGAAATTCGTCAACAACAAGATCTAGTACACGATCAACTTCGGGTGAAATACAATCTTAATGGTGGTGATTCGAAGACTGTTATTGTTCCATAGTAACTCTTTTTTTAAAATTTTACCATTTATATTTATATCAATGATCTTTAACATGGTGATAGATCTGTTACATTGTGTCTTTTCATGCATACAATTCTGTGAAAATAAATGTCAATATTTGATCGATGTCTATCTCACTTGAGAGCCGAGTGTCTGTCTAGTCTAACACCGATAGCAATTTTTAAAATTGACATAGATGAAACGAGTATTGTCTCACGCGACAAATGTCTCCATTCCATATTACTTATGGGAGTCGAATTAAAATACATTTTTTTTTCTCTCACTCGCTTTGTTCCTCTCTATTTGGGCCTTTCTCATTTCTTTTTATGTATATAAAAGTTCAACTGCCCTATTCGCGTCAATGGCCTATTCTGTTACTACTACTGCTGCTTGATTAACACAGTGGGTGTACGTACTATACAGAGTGACAAAGAAATGAGGTCAAGTTGAATGCAAGGTCTTTGCCCACGGTGGACGACAAGAAAAGAATTAATATTCGATATCATACAACATTACTATTATATTCATTCGTCATATACACACGCATACACACGTTCACATTTGTACATATAAACATGTTAACAATATATCTTCGAAATCAGTCAAGTAAGACCATCATCTGAATGACTGGAAGAAATTATTGCAAGATTTTAGCTGATAAGAATAAACATCCTTTTTTATTTTTTACATCATAGTTATTCTTATCTTTTTATCCTATCATTATATGATATATATTAATTATGAATGTAAAGATGGAAATAGTTTCTCATTGACTTTATGTGAACATTGTCAAAAAACAAAACAATATTAGTCTTTCGACTAATAATGTAAAAGAAGAATACATTTGTTATTTGAAAAATAATAATAGTAATGACTAAATAATTTTTATTTCCCAATTGTTTATTGTAGAACAATTTATATTCGTTCGTTCTCTTTCGAGAATTTTCTTTTCTGAAATAATATTATCGAGCAATGAGAAAACTGAGACTAGAGAGAAAGAAAAAGAATGATGATTGAACAATATTCTACGCCGTCATTCTCATCATCATTTTTGACAGACGAACCAAGAAGAAGCTCGCACTATAGTAGGCAAGATGTGTTGGCGGACACTCGATCCAACTCTAATGTAGAAGAAAAGAAAAAAAAAAGTAAAGAAAAAACTGGTCGCGAGATAGCTTTCCCGCAAGCAACATAGAATAATAAGAAACAAGCGACGAAAAAAAAAGAAAAGAGAACAAACAACGGGTCGTCTCTAGATTAAATCAGGCAGCTAAGGCGTTACTGACGTATTACTAGTGCCCGAAATCGAGGAAAGAGAGAGAAAAAAAGAAAACGATGTAGAAAAAATATAGACGCCGATGCATTTTCTTTCTCGTTTTCCCTTTTTTTCCTTTTGCCCCTACTTTCTGCTATTGTGCATGACGAGTGTAACATACACAACCCAAATTCTTCATCATCCTATCATTATTTGCTACTCGAAGAAATAATAAACGAAGATAAATCCGCGCACATATATATATATATATAAGCAGCAGATCTTTTCTAGTTTTCTACTTAATTGTTTTTTTGTTTGTGCGTAATCTTACACGGAATAAAACGAGGTGCAACGCATACGCGTTATGTTATTCGGATTGGTCAGCAAACGACAATCAGTAAGTTCCTTTTTTTTTTGCCTTTTTTTTCTTCTATTTAAACAAATGCTCTATGTTGTGTAATCTGTCAGTATCAGGTGTATAATATATTGATGGCTTGTGCTTTTTTTTCTCTTTGTTAATTATCATACTCGTAATCAAAAATAAATGCAGGTGAATCTCATCATCGGACATCTCTTCATAGATATTTTATCATTGAATTAGGCAGCTGTTCGCTTTTACGCCAATTGAGATTTGTCAATTAAAATGAGAAAGTTTAACTCAAGGAGCGTAAATATCTTTGAGACGAGACCTTTTCAATAAAATATACTTCTAAATGAAGGTCTTCTAATCATAGGTCTGCAAAAAAAAAAGGGAGAGACCTAGAATAAGAAGGCTTGAAATTGTTCTTGTAATGATAACGTATACATGTAACACGCATCAAAAAAGAAAAAGAAGAAAAAAAAAGACAAGAAGTAATAAAAGCATATGAGTGGAAAATGTTGGAGGCCGTTCATCCCTTCGTACACATGGTAGCTCTCTTTTGACTCTTGCAAAAAGGAAAGAAAAGTAAAAGTATCAGAATAAGATATGAATATAGTATGAGCATATGAATGTTCGTACGCTCTTGAGTAAGCGAACATGATTTATCTATCATACGAAAGCATATATATGTATGTATAGTGAGGGTTACGATGATACAGTATGATGATGGTTAATGTGAAAGAAAAGTAATACCAAAAGAAAAAAAGATTGAACACTATGTGTTTATATCATATCATTTTATGCATATAAAAATGAAGGTATATATTATGAAATTGATCTAAATATTTTGTTCAAGTGTGAAGGTTTATATCTAGAAAAATCAATTTAATCTTGTTCTTCTATCAGTATTGACGTGAGTACAACTAAAGAAATAGAAAAATTAAGTTCTTTTTTTTTGTGTCTTAGATTTCTTTTCTTTTCATTGTTATTCTCTATTAGTAGTCATGTATTTCAAGATTAGATCATGATAATCAGATCTATTTATACAGAGAACGAAAATATTCAAGTAGCCATTTGAGAAAACATCTGCATACTTAGCATTAATTCTTGTCACATTCATATCGGCCTTTTCCCTTCTCTTTATTATTTGTTACAGAAAAGATATATGATGGCACTATCGAAGCCTTGCATGCTTGTCTTTACTTCCTATCATCACTTGTGTATATGACCTTTACATCTATCTTTATTGATGAGAAAAGAACGAACTCGAATCATACATTACATATATAATCCTGGCACATAGTAAGTTCTTTTTATTTCTTACTATGTAACAGTAAATGAAAAATGTGAGATTCTTGATTTTAATCAATGAAGTATTGAAGATAAGTCCTCATGGTTTTTTTGACGCATGTATATATGAGTGCTATTCCAAATTTTCTCTCATCCTTTTCTTGTTGTACATCGTATGCTACCCATTCTTGTTATTCTCTCGTTTTTTTTTCGCCTTTCTTCTCTTGTTTACAGGCGTACTAGCCTCCCTAATAGGATACACTGTTGTCTATAATGATAGTCTCTTTCTTTTCTTGTCGAGACAGCTTGAAAAAAAAAACCAGCACATATTATTACCATCTCAACATCATCATCAATAAAATTTTCATTCTCTTTCATTTATCAATTTCTTTTTTTTTTTTATTTCGAATGGTAGTTGGCTAGCTTATCATCATTAACACGCAGTGTGAGAAAAAAAGAAAAGAAACTCGACAAGAAAGAAAAAGATGTATGTATGTCTGTCTAGTGTCTGTCTTTCGTTTTATTCATTTGTTCGACGTACGTATAAGTAATATCAATCAGTAATTGTATATTATTTGAGGTCAACGATAATGAGGTAGCGATACAATCATGTTTATTCATAGGTAAATAGAATGTCTTAAATTTTTTTTTCTTAGTTGATTCTATGTTCAATCAGAATTGTGGAACAACATTAGTTTCTCAATTACTTGATTCAATTGATAGTCATTTAAAAACCGTTCATTCACCAATGGAACAACAACAACAACAACAACAACAATTACCAGAATATGAAATGTCTGTTGATACTCCAGATGATGATGAACTATGGCTTAGTGGTCATCGATCAATATTTTCATCATATGGAAGTTATTGTCGTAAAACAGCACCACAAATTCGTGATAGTCAATATGAAGGTTTTCATTGGGATTTATATGAAGATCGTAATTATCATCATCTTGCATTTGAACAAGATCAACATAATATTCCAGCAACAAGTCTTTCGGAATGGTCAATGCGTTTGAGTTCAGGTATTAATGGTGGTGAAGGTGATACAGAAGATGATGCCGATGTTGAAGGCGATGATACAACATCATCATCTGATCCACCACGTACATCATGGCATGCTATAAAATCTAAATCTATTCATCGAAGTTGTTCATCATCAGCAAATACATCTGATAGTAGTGAACATCGTTCACGTAGTCCACTAACATTATATCGTTTATTTCAACGTACAAGATCTCAACAACATCCATGTCGTTTATATCAAAATTTTAGTGATAAAAGTGTGTGTGATTCATTAACATCATCATCATCATGTTCAAATATAAATAAATTAAATGGAACAAATAAAAACAAACATAAAACACCTATGCCAAGATTTAAATTATTAAGTCCAACAACATTTTCACAAATAAAATTAAATAAATCAAATAGTCATAATGATTTTCTTTCATCAACAGAAAGCAAAGAACAATTCAAGGGTAAGTTTTATATGAAATTCGATAGTTAGAAGATGAAGGATCAAATGATTATTTATCGTTAAATCCTTTTTTTTTTTGTAATATGAACAAACATAATCTCTATTATCGATTAGAGACATTAAATTGATCATTATCTGATCGGGTTTTTTTTTCTTTTTTTTCCTAATTCTAGCTTCTAATCAAGCCGTTATACCTCGTCGTAGTGTTGATCAATGTCTTCAAACATCTATACATATTGATAATACTCCTTCATGTCAACCATCATCAATACGTCGTTATATCCCACGTTCAACCTCACGTCCTCTAAATAAAGACAATCATTGTTTACAAACAGATAATAGTTCAGTTATTCGTTCGAAAAGTGTTGATCGTTCATTGAATAATAATATTAAAAATTCAAACTCAAATAATCCTAGTCAACCATCAACATCTCATCGATCATTACCAACAATATCATCTTTACCAGATCTTAGTTTTCTTACATATTATGCAAAAGAAAATCCAGCTCCACCACAATTGCCATCATCAATATCAACAAATCAAACAAAACCTCATTGTGCACGAATGAAAAGCACATTATCTGAACCATCATCATTAACAAAAAAAGCTACACGTACTGTATTTTATTGTAGTATTAAAGTACCATCTGTATCATCATCACCACCATCATCTATTCCCATGCGACCTACAACACTTCATCCACCCATATCAACTATACAAAGACCACGAACACTTAAAGAAATTAAACGTATTAAAAGTATTAAAACAAGTCCAACAACAATGGGCAATAGTCCACTTCGTGCCTTACCACTTAGTCCATCTGTTCCATCAAATGTTGATAATCATATAAAAGAAGAAGAAGAACATGCAACATTTTCATTAACATGTTCAAGTACATCAACAAGTGCAAATAGTACATCGAGTAGTGGTTATTTTAGTAATAGTTCCACGAATCATCCACGTCATATTCAAACACCTATGTCATCATATCCCCTTAAATCATGTTTAAAACGTGCTAAAACTGAAGATTTAACAACTACACCATTAACACCTGCTTCAACAACAACAGCCAATGTTCTTGCTGTTGGAGCTGCTGGTGATATATTTACATTAGCTGCACAAACATTAGCTGCTCGACTCGGTGATCATAATATAGAAACATCACGACATCGACGTTATTCAGCACCAACTATATCTTCACATCAACAAAATTTTTCTATACAATTACAAACACGACAAAAAGGATGTACATTATCTGAACATGATCTTCGTGCTAAGAAAAGTGTTAGTTTTTGTGATGATATTGCACGAAGACTTATAACACCATCAACTAGTCCTAAACATCGACCAACACCACCACCTATGATACCACGTAGATATGATCGAGGTATTGATTATAAATTAAATATTCAAATGAATATGTTTTTTTTTTCTCCTTTTTTTAGATTATTGTGATTTAGTACCACGAGAAAGTCTAACAGATAGTCCACCGAGTGAATTTAATTTATCGGATGATGAACATGAGGATCATCATGAAGCACATTTAATAAATTTTACTGAACATGTACCATCAGAAATAACAAAACCATTACCAGTTAAATATGGTAGTGATAAATATCTTATTGATGCTTTTGCAAATACAGTTCTTCATATTTTGGAAATAAAATGTGGTGATCCTCAAGTATAATATAATTTCTTTTCTTTTTCTTTTTCTTTTTAATAAATTTTTTTGTTTTTCAGTCTTATTATTTAAATAATATAACTAATCGTGAACTTGATCGAACACTTCGTCAAGATTTATGTCCTTTATTACGTGAAGTACTTGAAGATGGTCTTCGACAATATAGTGGTTCATTATTTTCAAAAAAAATTAATTTATGGCGTTTAATTGATTTTACAACACCTAAAACTGGTCGTTTTAATGATGCTAAAGTTAAAGCACAATTAGGATTATCATCTACAGTTGATTGGATTGAAAAATTTAATGCATTTATTTATCATTTACTCAAGTAAGAATATTAAATATGTTTACAAATCACATCTTTTTTTTTTTGGTTTTTTTTTGTTTAGTCTTCATGAACTTGCTGCATGGTTAACACATTTTTTATCTAATCGTTCAATGTTTACAGCATATTATGAATCATGGGCATTTATACTTGTACATGTAGATAATGATCTATTCGAACGCATTACAAATCAATTAGAAAAATTATCACCATTACCATTTCGACTTAAATATACTCATTCATCAAATGTTAATCCATCACCAAGAACAACAACAACAACGACATCAGCAACAACAACAAATCAACGTCCTTCTTCATTAATACCAAAACGATTTAATGTTCGAGCTTGGTTACGTGATCGTAAAACTCAAGTAAAAATTTCACCAAAAGAACCAACGACTACTCCTCCTTCATCATCATTAATGAGCAAATCACCTTCATCTTCTACTATTCCATCATCAAAATCAGTATCAACTATACCAACAAAACCATCACCAACAGTACCGTCAGTACCACCACCACTACTACCACCAAATGTTTCTCTACGACGTAAACTTGGCTCAATTCCAGTACCTAAACGACATCAAACAGTGCACTAAACAATTTCATTATATATATATTTATATATATACATATACATATATCTATGTTAATTTATAATTGCATTCAAAATGCTGATATATTGTCGTATATTCTCCGTGGTTGTTTTTATTGGCTTTTTTTCCTCATTTTTGTCAAGTAATTTTTTTTAAATGTTTGTGTGTGTATTCATGTTTTCAAACAATTCACAGTATTTCTATCTTTATTTACCCTAATTTATCCTTCCTTTACTCAGTTTAATGAACTGTTAATTCAATTTTCCTTTTTTTTTCTCTGTGTTCAAATGGTAAGAAAATCAAAATAAATACGTTCGTATAGTCAGCTGATTTTAGAAGGTTTCATTTTTTTTTTCTAAGTTAAAAGAAAACAGTAAAGTTATTCGCAAAGGTCTTCATGTCGAATAAAACAATGTTGTTAGCATATTTCCCATTTGTAATCATCAAATATTATTATTGAGGACATAATTCAAAGCAACAAAACTAAGAAAGAAGTTTAAGGCTGTAGGTATTATTATTATTAACAATGCCTACTATCGATACAAAACCACGTTATCGTCCATTTCATCGAGTACTTTATCGTGAAGATTCAAAAGATTCAACGTTTACACAAAATGTATCACCACAAATTGATGGACATCTGATAACAAAATTAAAGAAAAAATGTAATTGTCAAATCATAGGAAATAATCATAAAATAGTAATAACAAATGGTAGTAGAAGATTATAAATGAAAGAAGGTATTCTTTATAAGAAACCTGTTGAAAATATTAAATATGTTAAACGTATTCGAAATGAGTTCATGGCACATTATTTATTTGTTATGCAACAATATATTACTCCAAATTTGAGTACTCTTTCTCATTGTGAAAATTACATTTTACCGTAAGTATAAAATATATTTTATGGAAAAGTGTAATAAAATTTTAATAACGACAACAAGACAATTACTTACTAGTATTGTTTTTTTCTTCATTAATGGCATAGAACTTTTGAAGATTTAAATCATAGAAGAAGTATAAAATATAATTTTTTTTAAGAAGAAAATGCCCCCTATAAGGCTTTCAAGTTTTCATTGATTATTTGTTTTGTTTGTTTGAAACGACGATGAATTTCAAGAGAAACAAGAATTTACTATTGCTTAGTTGTATTAGCATTTGAGTACATTTGAAAAGACAACAGAACATGGCTTGGTGGTCTAGTGGTATGATTCTCGCTTAGGGTGCGAGAGGTCCCGGGTTCAATCCCCGGCCAAGCCCGGTTGCTTTCTTTTTCTTTTCTATTTTTTTTTTGTCCTAGACGAATATGTTTTTTATTATTTGACATATATTCATATTCCTCTTTTGATGTATAAGTATGTGCAAGGTGAGAATAAGTTTATTTGTTAATAAACAATAACAAGACGATTTCTAGATGAAGAGTTTTTTTTGAAAATAATACTAATATTCTCATTTTTCGTTTCTTTTTTTTTGCTTGATTCATTCGTTCTTTGTCGATTTCTTTCTTTCGTTTTTTTTTACTATTATTGAGTAAGTTTTGTGAACAAAAATTAAAAAAAAAAAGCTGAAAATGAAACGAATGAAAAAGAAAGAACGTTGTTTTAATATTTCTTCTTTGTGGAATCAAATATGAATATAAATATATATATATACATACATATATTTGTTATGGCAGCAGTAAAGAAAAAAAAGAAACACAAGAACATACACATGAGGATCGAATGAAACTATAGAGAATATTGAAGATAAAATGCCGATTTCATATAAACGAACTCGTAGTCAGCGGAAAATCAATCATCATCAACAACAGCAACAACGAGAATCAGTACCACAAAATAATGAAAATGATAACTATATTTATTATCCATATTATTCTAAAACAACACCTAATAATGGTTATGAATATGTACAAGAACCCGATCAATATGAAGACCGACGAGCACAATATAATGCAACATATACAAATAATAATTCAGCTTCAGTCCGTCGAACGTGAGTAAAATAATGGTTGTTTTAAGAAAACAATCTCTACAATCATCTTGAAAGAAGAATGAAACCCGACAAAAGAAGGAATACAGTTTCGATACATAATGAGTCCTTCATTATATGATTATTTTAGCACTTTTGTTGATTTGATTTTCTTGTATGATTTGAAACATTGTGGTGATAATGACAAGGTTTTAAAGTTTTTTTTCATTGTTTTACTTGAATTATGTCATTCTTTTCATTTTTTTTTGAAGAGTTTCAGTCGATTAAGCCAAGTGAAACCTTATGATGCAATGATAAGAAATGAATATATCGATCATTAACTATGATGCATAATAAGAAAGTCTATTTAAAAAAAAAAAGAAAACAAATGTACTCAATACGCAATCATTGAGAAAATGACATTGATTGTTAGTGTTCAGCATAAGGATTGGTTATAATAAGTCTCAACAATATATTTTAAATCCTTGTTTAGTTCAATATATTTATTATAGATATTGACAATTTGTGAAATCTGTTAGTGATTAATCAACACGTTATTATTACATGACAGTCTTTCATAAAACAATGATTTAATTGAAAAACAAATTTTTGAAGAATTATATAATCTACAACTGATAGAAATATTTCAATATCTTTGTTCAATCGAACATCATCAGTTGAGACTAGAAAATAATTCAAATTTTAGTACATCGATGGCATTGCTTGAAACTTGTTAGACAAAGAAAGAGATATGCGACTTTAAAAACAATTTAAAAATCGTATAAATAATAAATAATTTCTTTCTCTATGACGAATAAAAATTAAACTGACGTCGTTGTTTTCTTCCGACAAAAAACAGCTTACATATCGAGAAAGTAAACAATTTGTAAAATCAGGAACTAGAAAATAAAATTTATTTTATATGCGTAGAATATAGTACGCAAAAAGAACAATACTTATATCCTAACACTGATCAATCATTATAATAAATAATCGATTTTGATTCAATCAGATTTAGAAGTGCATGTCAATTAAATCTCAATTAGTTTTTCTAGAAAAAATAAGAAGAAATTAATTATTGTTATTGTATTTTTCTTTTTTTTTTTCTACTTGTTTCGAAGAAGAAAAAAACAATAAGTATTAGGAAATACGTCTTCTTTCTTTTTACTTGTAAATCATTTCTCGTTATTATAAAAGAAATAGAAAATGTCCAAGGCATCGGTTGAAACATATTCTGTAATTGAACTTCCATCAATTTCCACACCTTTGAATTCAAGTCGTCGACAGATTCCAACGAATAATGATAATCAAAAAACAAAAACTACTGAATTATATACAGCTGAAAATGGTTCACCAGCTCAGAGCTCATCTGCTCGTGTGCGTTTTCTTGAACCTTGTTCTGCTTATAATACAACACCAAAACCTTCAACATTAATTAAAAATGTTCCATCAGTTGACAGTTTTGAAGCATTATCTATCGAAAATATCAACGATTTTCATCCTGATGGACCTAATTCTGTTAGTCGTGGTCTTCAAACAGATATTAGTAATGCATCAGTGATTGACTGGGTGTTAGGACAAAAGAGTTCATCGACTGGCGATAGGTATATTAAGATTTGATTTATCAGTGATATGATGCTTAAGTACACATAAGTCAAGTGTCTTCTTGTAATGTTGGTGGCGGGTATGCATAAACATAGTAAGAAAAGAGAAGAAGACCTATCTTATGAATAGTTCGAAAGTTGTATATTATAATGAAAGACAATAAGTCAAAAAAAAGAACATAGAGAGAGAGAGAGAGAGAGAGAATAGGAGAATGGTTCTAGTTTCGCGATTGCAGTTTTACTGTTTCATAAGTCAATAGACACTTACGAATCGTTATCGTTAGAGAAGAGAAAAAAAAAAGAATAGATGGTGAACAAAAAGAAAAGTGACCAGTTCAAATTATAATCGATTGCTACCAAATTGAATAGTATTATTTTATCATGGCAACTTTTGCTATACGATCCCATAGTTTAATAAATGGTGGAAAATATTCAGTAATATCGAAACATCGAAGTTATTAGTAAAAAAACAAAATAAAAAAGGTTACTTATTATTTGATATTAATTTTATTTCTTATTATTTAGTATGTTTCGAAATGAACAAGCTCAAGATCCCAGTACAGAAAAAGATCGTGTGCGTGTTATTGTTCGGTATGGAATTTAAAATTTAATTGCTTTTTCTACGTACATTTATATATATGTTCTATAATTAGTATTCGACCAGTAAATAATCGTGAAATGGAAAAAAATGATCGATCAATATTACATTGCGAAGGGGAAACTTCTATTTTAGTAAGTCCTCTTTTTTCATTATTTATTTAAATATTTATAATAATAAATTAAATAGGTCGAAGGTGCACAACCAAGTCGACGATTTACATTTGATAGTGTTTTTGATGTATCATCAACACAAGAAGACGTATTTCATTATAGTGGTATCAAGCGTTTAGTCGATATGGCTATCGAAGGGTATGTGATTGAAATATCTAATTACTAAAAATAAAGATTATTTTTTTATGAAAAATATTTTTTTTTAGATATATTTCAACTTGTTTTGCATACGGTCAAACCGGTAGTGGAAAAACACATACAATGCTTGGTCCAGGAGGCGCTGCCATTGTATTTATCTATGCTTTTTTGTAAAAAAAAATTTTGATAATTTTTTAAAATAGTTTCGTATGGATGAAAATTATCGTATAAAAAACTTTGGTTTAGTTCCACGAGCAATTAATTATTTATTTCAACGATTACGCGAAAAAGCTCAAGAAACAAATACTCCTTTTTATATTCGTGTATCCTATTGTGAAATCTATAATGAACAAGTATGAATATATATGTATATGAATTGATATTCTTGATAAAATTCATTTCTGTTAGATTCGTGATTTAATTAATCCAGGACATACTGAAAGTTTACAAGTACGTGGTTCAGTTGAAGATGGATTTTATGTTGGAAATCTTTTTCAAACATATATTGAAACTATGGATGAATTATTAACAATACTTGAAGAAGGTTTGCATGAAATTAATATTTTTCTATAGCATAATGATTATGAAGAAGAAAAAAAAACTTTAGGTGAATTAAATCGAGCTATGGCTTCACATAATCTTAATGATACGTCAAGTCGTAGTCATGCAATGCTTTCAATTCAAATTGAACAAGATATACAAGGAAATGATGATCCAAAAGAACAAATGACTCGACAAGGAAAATTAGTTTTCGTTGATTTAGCTGGTAAAATGTTTTTCAATATTCTTTTTCGATTTTATTCGCAAGTAAAAACAACCCATTGTGTTTTATTTTTTTTTTCAGGAAGTGAAAAAGTCAAAGTAAGTCTTTCGAAAGGTAAACAACTCACCGAAACCAATAATATCAATAAAAGTTTACTTACACTTGGTAAATAGATTTTTTACAATCTTCAATTCTTGCGATTATTATTTTTTCATTATTACTCAAAGGTACATGCATTTCGGCATTAAGTGATCCTGTTAAACGTGCTGGTCATATTCCATATCGCGATTCAAAATTAACACGTCTATTAGCAGATAGTTTGGGTGGACATGGAATAACCTTAATGGTTTGTATAATTAATATAAGAAATTTCAAATCGAAAAATAAAACAATATTTGATTTTCTTATGTTTTTTCTATTAAAGATTGCATGTATATCTCCAGCAAGTTCATGTGAAAATGAAAGTTTAAGTACATTACGTTATGCTAATCGCGCAAAAAATATTGAAAATGCTCCTATAATAAAAACAGATTCAAAGGAAAATGTTATTAATCGTTTAAAACGTGAAGTACGAAAATTAAAAGATGAAAATCATGAATTACGACAAAAATTAGGCTATCAAGGAAACACATTACCTAAAATTAAAACTCGTAGTTCAGATTCTGGTTCACTAACATCAATGCGTTCAGCAGCGAGTATGGATATATATGATAGTCGTCAAGATAATCAGTAAATATATATATATATATATATGTATTTCTTTTTATTCTTGAACTCTGTTCTTTA